ACCTTGTTGGGCCGGGCCGTGTGTGTCATAAAATGTAATGCCAGGTAGCGGAGATATAAACTTTATAAAGGATAATTAAAGAGTAGGAAATAGAAGCTTGCCTATCTATCTCTCCTGAGTGATTGAGAGAGTCTGACAAAGCAAGCTATGACACAGCAGCAGCAGCAGAACTGGAAGAAGAAGCAGGAGACAGCCAGTTCCACTGCAGGCCTGATAGAAGCCCTCTGGGGGCCTGATCCGGCCTGCGGGCCGCATGTTTGACACCCCTGCTCTAGCCAGTATACCCCATGCTGGTTCTCAGATCTTATCCTTTCCTTTCCTTTTCCTGAGAAAGAGAAACATATGTCAGTGTTCCAGATTTTTCTGATAATCAGGATGCCTTAGGCTTCCAAAGTTCATTTTTTAATGTTGTATAAAATAAATTGTGAGGTCCCCGACCCCTGCATTTTGGATGTCAGAGGAATACATGCCTTGTATTGTCCAGGTAATCAACGTATCTCAAACCTCAAGTTTACCAAATTTCAGCTTCCCAGTATCCTTTGAGTCCCTTTTTTTGGAGAAGAAATGCCAAAATGTCTGGTTTCCATTTTAGATTTTTCTTGTAACTGGACTTCCTTGAAACTACATAGACCCCAAATGTCAGAATTTTAGCTCTGTAGAAAAGATCCAGATAATTTCAATAGTCCATCACCTGTCAAGTGCGGTGATCTGTCAGCCAAATTCCGATGGGTCATTTTCTGAGGAGAAGGTGAGGGCTCTAGTATCTTTCTGTTCCAGAAAGTAATGCTTTGCATCTCCCAGTGCCTGAAGATGCTGGAATACTCACCACTTTCTAAGGAGGGCTTTGGGAAGCTGTTGCTGCAGTTGCTGAATCTTGCTTTCTGGCCCTGTTGGCTAAGGCTCATTCTGCATCTAGCATTAGCTCCGCTGTTATACCAAACCCAAGTTGGAACAGAAATTCCCCTCTACATTGCATGCCACTTTGACTTTGATTGATTGTCGGATTTAATGACAGTGTCCAGACTGCATGCCGCTTTCACTTTGTTTGATCTCTTGGTTTTATGGTACTGTCTACATAGATTTATGGCCGTTTTATTACTTTTCAGGGGTGACTTTTCAGTCAGAGACTCCACAGCTTAGAGGGAACACTCAGGGGTGACTTTTTAGTCAGTAAGGCGTTGGCCCAGGGTATTTGAATGTGGTTTTGAGCTGCATCTTTTTCTGTTCCAGTGGCGTTTTTGTAAAACAACGGACCAAATGCTAGATGCAAGATGGGCCTAAGTCTCCAGCTCCACTGATACTGGTTCCACTGAATGGGACAATGAACAGCCAGCCAGTGAAATCACAGGAAAGGACTATCTGTTCGTGTTTCATTAGCATGTGGCAACGAGGGGAAATCAGGTTTCAAGCAGATTGTGTCAGAATGGTGACAGTCAGTGTATTAGATTTGATGGCCAAAGCTATGGTCTCTAATGATGCCAAGCTTGGGCAGATGGCTGGTAGAAAGAACTGCAGGGAAATCTGAGATCTTTATTAGCTGATTACTGGGAGTAAAAATTCTGCAGTGGAACTTGAAATGCAAAGTACAAAAGTGACAGCAAGTACATTGTTCTTCTCATTCTCGTAGCAGTGTGTGTTTATTTTACAAAGGTGTATTTCTGAGACCTCAAACAGTGAAATCCTCAACAACGTCCACTAATCACTTGTTACTCATATGTTGACAAGGTACTCCCTGCAGGGCTGTCCTTTTTAGTTCGAAACCATTCAAAGTAAAGAAATCAGGCATTTTGGAAGTGCATTGAATGGAAGGAAGCCTTCCCTAGCTCAGAGGAGGTGAAATCTCATTATTTTTAATGGGGCCCTAAAGCCAAAAAGATCTTTTATCACGTAGATATATGTTGATAGAAGAGACTATCTGAGAAACTATGGGAGTCCACGCTAATTGGACGCATAATGCTGTAGCGATAATAATTAAAAGGACTGTCGGAATCAAAGGAATAAAGCCTTCCCCTGATCAAAGACGCAAGGCCCAGTGCTACTCCAAGGGCGTTCCATTAAGCAACATATAAGGCATTCCTTTTATTTTTGTAATGACGGTATGAGAATTCTGAACGTGAAGCAGCATACCACAAGCAGCTACTAGAGCAAAGGTGTTATATAAAATTTAACACAAGGAAATTGGTGTGTTTCCTGCTTGTTGGGGTGGTGTTTGTGTGTGTGGGGGGGCAAAACAGAGCAGGACAGACCTGTCGCTTATGCACTATGACACAGAAGTAGCAGGGCAACCTGAGTGGAGTGAAATGGGGAACTGACAGGGCCTGACCTCCCACTGAATGTATGTGACTTAAAGTGCTTCTCTTTCGCTAGATTACTTATTGTGAGCACAAACGATGTGCATTTTCGTCTAACCCAACTGAACTCTTTTGCAATTGCAAGCAACAGGCTAAGCTGACTGGCAGTTTCTGGACAACAACAACACAAAGTATGGTGTGAGTCATGCACAGAACCTGTGTTGGTGCCAAGGACGGTAATGACCTTGCTCAGAATACAAACTTGCCTCACTTGTAATGCTTAGCTCTGTTACAAATCAAGTAGCATTTCCCCTCCCCTGCAAAGGTCTGCAGGTGTGTAGAATGTAAAAGGAGATTTTGCACACAGGTAGCTTCATGTGCAAAAGTCTTTCATGTGATACCCTCCCCCACCTCCCACCCACACCCTCTCCTGGGATGCTGTGGAAGATGGGGCTTGCTGCAATCAGAGCACCCAGCCAAGCAGCCTTGGGGCTTGTTGAGCGTCACTTTGGGTCAGATTCCTTAATTCCTTCTTGCAAATGTAATGTGTGGCTGCCGGGCCTCGTCCTGATCTAGAACTTGAATTCTGGGTGATTAAGATTGTAATTACTGAGCCAGTTCCAAATCTAATTTAGGAAAGCTCACCTATCATTCCTTAGTACAACAGTGATTTGGCTTAGTGGTATGGAATAGCATTTATTTACTTTTATTTACATCATTTGGGAAAACTCCAGGATCGTGGCCTCCCCCCCCCCTAAGTCTTGTTATTGAACAGTCTCTCTGGGATCAAGCTCTGCAGTCAGAAACAGAAACATCCAGTTATTCTCCAATATACTAAATGGCTTCAACCAGCAGATTACTCCAGATCCCTCACATGCTCCAAATGTCAGAGAATCTTTACCCTTGCAAGCTTTAGTGTTCTCTCCTTGGCCCTCCTGGAAGGCAGGTACCATCGCTTCCCACTCAGTGGAAGGTCCCCGTGGCACTGCATGTGCCCCTTACCTTTTTATCCCTTTATTTTATCCCTTTGTTTTATTTGTGTTTCTTTTTTATTATTATTGATGATTCTTTGGAGCTGATTTAAACCTATGATTGATATTTACTTCATTTGCATTCCTCCTTTCTCCTTAGAGAGGTCCCACAGTGGCTTAAAAAGTTCTCCTCTCCTCCATTTTATCCTCACAACAACCCTGTGAGATAGTCTGGGCTGAGAGTATGTGACTGGCCCAAGGTCACCCAGCGAGCTTCCCTGGCAAAGTAAGGATTTGAACCCCGGTCTCCCAGATCCTAGTCGACACTCCAGCCGCTTCCACCACACTGGCTGTTCCACGTTGCTGTACCATATTAATATTGATCTGGAGATGTTAACAGAACTTAGAATCACCAGAAGGGCTCGGAAATAACCTTTTTGGAACACCTCCAGAAGAACTGGTTGTAGGGTTGCCAGCCTCCAGGTGGGGTCTGGGGATCTCCTGCTTTTACAGCTGATCTCCAGCTGACAGAGATCGGCTCCCCTGGAGGAAATGGCTGCTTTGAAGGGTGGACTCTGTGGCCTTGGGCCCTGCTGAGGCCCCTCCCCTCCCCAAACCCCTCCCTCTCCTGGATCCACCGCCAAAGTCTCCAGGTATTTTCCAACCAAGACCTGGCAACCCTAACAACAATTACAATTACAACAAATTTATTAAGAACAGTCATAAGACCAGCAAAATAAACCAAAATAGTACAACACCGAGTCTAAATACTAAAATACGAAACCGGTCAATTCCGTCATTAATGGCTCGAGTTACAGTACATTCTACGCTTTTTAATTACCAGATAACAATATTTAGCAACATTGTGTGAGACAGAATCATAAGTATTGGCCAATAAGAACTTTATCAAACATTCCTCGGCATATGTAAGATAATTAGCCAAGGGTTTAAAACGTGAGAGAAGGGGTATCAACAGCTGCTGTCTCTCTTCGTCATACATAGGACAATGGAGTAATATATGGGAGGCCGACTCCACCTGTTCTAACAAACAGGAGCAAATTCTCTGGTGCATGGGAGTCCGGGTATATCTACCATAAAGTACTGCTGAGGGTAACGCATCAAGCCGTGCTCTAGTAAATGCCCATCTATGGTTAGGGTTTTTTATGAGTCCAAGGTAAGATGCGGCCTTTAAACTTGGTCCCAGCTTTAGCCTCTTATAATAGGAAGGCAGGGCTGCATAGTCGTCTTGTGCTTCAATATCCTTAAATCTTTGGTATATTAAGTTCTTTGCGTACTGCAACCCTCCCTCTAGCAAATTTTCAGGATCTAACCCAATTGATTTCAATTTATCTACGACTCTAAGAGCCCATGACAAAAGATCAGGAATAAGTCCCACCAGATTTGGCAACCCTAACTGTTTGGCCACTGTGTGACACAGGATGCTGGACTAGATGGACCACTAGTCTGATCTGGCAGGTCTCTTCTGATGTTCTTATGTTTGTTTGCATAACCCATGGTGGGCAGATCAGTATTCCAGACAAAGGGAATGTGGATTAATGAGCCCGCTATAGAATTGGTTCGGCTCTTTTTCCTTTTCTTTCGTGCGAAACTGTTCTCCAAACAATGCTGTCTGCGGGAAATCATTATGCAAAATCATTATGCAAATATATTTGAAAAACAGTAAAACGACCACTTCCTTCTGAACGGTGTCTGATTCCTCAGTGATATTCCTGCTCAGACATTGTCGATATCAAGCCGGCCAACATGGAGGATCTGACCGAAGTCATCACAGCCTCTGAGTTCCACCCCCACCACTGCAATCTCTTCGTCTACAGCAGCAGCAAAGGATCTCTCCGGCTCTGTGACATGAGGGCGTCCGCTCTCTGCGACAAACATTCCAAACGTGAGTCGCTGGTGGGGGCCTTTCCGTTAAAACGTTGTCCTGAATGTTCCCAAATGTGTACTGTAGGCAGGGATTACCCACTGGTAGGGGCGGATTAACCATTAAGCAGACTAAGCACGTGCTTAGGGCACCAGGGCCAAAGGGGGCACCACAAAGTTTGGAAAAGGGTGAAAAGAAAAAAACCCCCGAAGACTTGTAAAAAATTTTTTTTAAATAAAACTAGTGCAAATGGATCATGGTGTACCCTAGGGTTAACTTCTATTTTTTGTTGGCGAGGTGCAGTGTCATAGGTTATGTTTAAAAGTAAAATGATGGAGCCAAATTCAGTTGTCAGTTGCTGCAACCTGCACTGTATATCTGGTCAGACAGGTCAACCACTAAAATGGACTGAGTCAGTGTGGAAAGATTGGTCAGTGCTTAGGGCACCAGTGAGCCTTAATCTGCCCCTGCCCACTGGCACAGCGTCAGCCACTTGAGTGGCTTGCAAATGTGTCCACTTGTTACATGCGGAAGTGGATGGTTCCTCAGCATTATGCTTCTGCTGCATTATGGCCCCCAAACAAAAAAACGTGAGATGCCCAGTTCCACGGGAGGAAGTGTCGGTGTCCGTGCCTCCAGTCCTGCCTTCGCTACAACCCGTAAGAGGCAGCTTTGAGGTCTAGGCCGGCGTGTGGCAATGGGACAGAGATCAAAGCGGTCAGGTAACACCTAGTTGGTTCCCGTGGATCTCTGCCAGCTGGGTGTGGCTGGCCCTGCTTCCGGCAGCAGAAATGGGTGGCTCAGGAGGACAGTGGGTGGGACTGGCTGTGATGGGCAGTGCAGGCTGTCTGCCCCCTGGGGTCAGTATTGCTGAGGTTTTTCTTCCTGCTTAACCGCAGCAGCATCATTGTGTATTCATGCACCTCCCAGGATTTCCCTGGCTTTTCTCTAATCTGTTGCTCTGAAGATTTGGGAAACATTGCAGCAAAGGTCTACTATATTTGTTTGGCATATGAAACTGTGTTCGTGAAATTGTCGGTTTGTGTCTAGTATTACTGATCTCCTCTTAAATACACAGCACTGTAAGTGGAATTTTGGGTTCAGTTTTATGTTTATGGTTCTTGTTAATGTCCTGATGTTACTGGACGGGAAAAGACTAAAGTACCCTGATGTACTAGAACTGTAAAAAGCAGAAAAGTTTGCTTTTAGCCTGCTTCAGTTGGAAGTGATTAGCAGCGAGGCGGGCATTGTCAACCTGTAAGACTGGTAGGTCTGAGCCAAAAGAGGAAGGCCCATTTTGCAAGAACCCCCCATCAGAATTTAAACACTTTCTCCACTTTTGTTGACTTTGGGATGTCATAGTCAAAGGACTGCAAAAACATTTATTTTGTGATCCCTGATTCGCAAGGGTTTTCCATGGGACCTGTACAGAATGCTTTGATTCCAAACAGCAGCACTAAAGAACCACGAAGCAGATAGCATTCAGATTCCCCGCCCCACCCCGGAATCTGTTGTGTGCCTGTCATCTTGCTATGTTCAATCTGAAGAACATTCAACTCAGTCGTAATTACTGGCTCAATTAATGTGCAACGTTTCATTTCCAATTTTAGACCACGGAAAAAAAAGACTCTTCGAAAGTTCCCTGTCAACATATGAAACTATTAATAGATGGAAACCACTGAGAGCTACTCTTAGGATTGTAAATGAGTCCTGCAGTTAGATGTAAAGATGTTATCTTCATGCACAGAATGTTATCACTTGTGATTTCTCCAGATGAGGCTACTCTGACAGGAACAGAAGCAAGCCAACCATTTCCCCTGCTCTGTTGGCATCCTATAGACTGTTGTTGGTAGTAAAATCAAATAGTTTATTATAAAATAATAATTCAATAAGAATCATGGCTGTATTTGCCATTATCGTTCTCAATGTTTTCCTAATTTGTACAGTAAGGTTTGCATCAATAAGATGAGTCTTTTCCCCCCACACCTCAGTACCAAGGAGATGCCAGTCATAAATGACTAAAACCCAACAGTAACCCTGAAATGAAAAGCAGGCATTTGATGCCAGTAAAGGGACCAGGCTCTAATGGGCATTGATTAAATTCTGTTTTCCAGATATGTGAGTTAGAAAACAATGAGGCTTGCTGGGAAACACTTAGGGGCCGACTGAGGCCGACAAGGGGGCTCCCTTTAGGCTTTTAGAGGGATGCTGGGGGTGGCTTGGGTTTAGGGTCGCCAGGTCTGGGTTGGAAAATACCTGGAGACTTTGGGGGTGGAGTCAGGAGAGGGTGGGGTTTTGGGGAGGGGAGGGGCCTCAGCATGGCCCAGTGCCACAGAGCCCACCCTCCAAAGCAGCCATTTTCTCCAGGGGAGCTGATCTCTGTCAGCTGGAGATCAGTGTGGTAAAAGCGGGAGATCCCCAGGCCCCACCTGGAGGCTGGCAACCCTACTTGGCATGAACGTTCTCCTCTCACTGCCTTTGCAAAGTGCTGGTGTTAATCTTCACAACACTCCTCCCTTGGTGTCCTTGACCGGGCAGGAAAGTGTTGTGAATAAATAAGTGTTGTGAATAAATAAGCAACCTTGCAAGGTAGGCCATGATTCGCATTTCACAGCTAGGAAATGGAAACCAGCAGACAGTGGCATGACCACAACCCATTTTGGACTTGAACCCAGCTCTCCCATAGCCTCTGCTGATTGTTTAATAAAGAAGGTGGCACAGGAAAACTCAAGTATTTAAAAAGACACAGGAAAACTCAAGTATTTAAAAAGACAAGCCATTTAAACACAGTAGAATCTGGGAGGGGTGGCTTGGATGTGCAGTCAGTGATCAGGGGATGTTATTTAACTTCATGCCATGGAAAGCTTAAAGTATCCATCATCATCATCATCATCATCATCATCATCATCATCATCATCATCAAACCTCTACTTAAAAGACAGGACATTTAGGCCAGAACTTGCTGATGTTGAGGAAGAGGGGTCAGAGGGCAGCCAAGTCCCTTTCTCCTGAGGAGTCCAGGTCTGTCGCTTAGGGGGGGGGTTGGCCGGTTCAGGGGGTGGATGTTATGGAACCCCACAAAGGGAGCTGGGGGAGAAGCTCACTAGACTGTGTCGGAAACACCCTAATGAGCTCTTGGGCTGCTTTTGTTTTTGCAATATAATCATGAAAGACGATCGTCCACACCCTCCCATGGGATTAATGAACATCCGCTCCCCGTTTGTATGACATCCCCAGCTGTACCGTGATCACTCTGTCTAGCGCTTTGAGGCAAAAGGGACCTTGCATGCAGGAATTCCATGATCAACAGTTGTCAGGAAAGATAATGCAAGCTGTTGCCAAGAAGTCCTTTCTGCATCTGTCTTCTGTCATGACATTTACAGTGAACAAGCACCCATCGTCTCTGACAATTCATCCCATGTCCACTAGTCCTGGACAGTACTCCGCATTACATTTTTGCTTCCATCCCTTGTATGCACAATATAGTCTCGTGTGCAGTTGTGTTACAGAGAACTGGCATAACTTCGTCCCCCTCCTCCTCTTTTGCCCTAATATTTTGTTCTCCTTCACCTGTTCTGCTACAGCAGACCATGAGTTCCGAAATCTTTCACTTTTAGAAAGGTCCAGAAAAAATTGCTGTATCACAGCCATAGAGTTAGATGGAAAGAGAGGAAAATTTTAAGGCTGGGAAGGAGCCTTGATGGTGAAATATCTGACCGTCCACATGACTACATTTGTAAACATATGGGTTGTATTACCTGGGTATGTGCCACATTGGCCTACCCATCTGTAGAGCTGCCACAACAGTGGTCCTTATCAGGACCACATCCATCTGTAACAAGGAAAGACATTGGCTGCACAAGGACTTATTGAGAACGTTGAATCTCTGACGTTTCTTTCTTTCTGTTGGCAGATGCTCTTCCTCATGTATGACACTCCCAGATCACCTCCCCCGGCCTGATCAGGCTCTCAAAGCAACATAGGTAAAGGTAAAGGTTCCCTTGCTCGAAAGCCAGTCGAGTCCGACTCTAGGGTTGCGGTGCTCATCTCCGTTTCAAAGCCAAAGAGCCAGCGCTGTCCAAAGATGTTTCCGTGGTCATGTGGCCAGCATGACTAAACACCAAGGTGCATGGAACGCTGTTACCTTCCCACCGAAGTGGTACCTATTTATCTACTTGCAATTTCTTGCTTTCGAACAAAGCAACATACAGTGCAGTAAAATGGTTTCCTGGGGGTGGGGTGGGGGGCTGGTTACACATAGACCTCAGCTGAATTTAAAATGCATTACTTGGAAGAATATGTTCTTTGCAGCATGTTTGTCCAGCAGCAGTGCTGGATCCAGTATAACCTCTGTGCTCTTAACAAAGTCAGCAAGGACTTGAATCGATCTTTTACTGAGGATCAGTGGGACCACATCTGGAAAATGCATGCCAAAGTTTCCAGATCACTGACGGTTTGTGCAGCGGCTCAGAAGGTTCTGTTCAGATGGTACATGACTCCAGTCAAGCTCTCTTATATTTCAGCCCGTGCCTCACCTTTTTATTGGAAAAACTGTGGCAATAAAGCCACTTTCTTCCATAATTGGTGGGAATGCCATCACGTACAGCAATTCTGGTCGTCGATTATACGCCTCATCTATACGATAACAGGAGTGGACTTGCCTTTAGACCCGGCATTGCTCCTTCTTGGCCACTGGCCGTCAGATGAACCTCCTGTAATGAAAGGAGAGTTAATTAACGTTCTGCTCACAGCTGCCAAATCATCTATAGCCCGATTTTGGAAGAGCACTAACCCGCCCACGGCTGCCTCCTGGCTCTCCGTTGTCTGGGACTATTTCATGTTGGAAAAATGTACTGTTTATTTCGACGCTTCTCAGAGTGAGAAGGAATTGTATAGTTCCTTAGATAAATGGTCCTTATTTTTGGAAAAGGTGGGACAAGGGGAGTTGATTGTTTAAGTGGGCCATGGGAGGGTGTCATTCCATGTCCCCATGTTATACTGCTTTCATTCTTTACTTGACC